TAGCCCTCGTGTAGCTTTGCGCGAAATTCCAAAACAAACAAACAATGTTCCCAATAAATAAAATATATAGAATCATTGTAGGGCTTGATTTTAAAGTAATATCAAATATGAATTCAAATTTGAATATTTTAACAATCTAATAATATTAATAAACTATCATATGTGGATTTTTCTATTTTAAATTATTGTCAAAGTATTTGAATTTGTATATACATTAAATAATAGTTCAACTGCATATATTTTATTATGAAGCGAGATTATTCATTACAAATTGAAAATATTAACAATATGCTGAAAATATAGAATCGTGACCATTATTAATTAAGCTCTCTGTAGACTTTAGAAGATTATAATATTTACTTTGTTTATCTGTTTTTAGTAATCTGTTTGAAGAGATGCGTGTATATCTTTACAACGTTAAAAAGAATAAAAACATTAAACATTTTTGTTCAACTGGTCTCCACGTGGCAAATAAACTGTGCACGATAACAAACAAATCTTTCAGCTTACGTTTATATTTTAAAATAGCAAGTAGAAGCACTTAACTATTTACCCCAATAAAAATAGCAAAACGGTCATTTCAATATAAGAAACAGTAAAACTTTCGCCTAAATTCAAAAAAATGGTAAAAAAATACCTTCACCTCAATATAAATATTGGAGCCCCCCCAGTGGCACAGCGGTATGTCTGCGGACTTACAACGCTAGAAACCGGGTTTCGATACCCGTGGTGGGCAGAGCACAGATAGCCCTTGTGTAGCTTTGTGCATAATTAAAAACAAACAAACAATAAATATTGGAAACCGTTCATTTCAATATAAAAACAGTAAAGGTTTCTTGTCAATAAATTAGTAAAATGTTCACTTATATACAAAGATAGTAAAATGCTTCAAACTTATCATATATTTATTCTTGAGTTCGTCTTTCTGAGTATATATTACCTTTGGTTTCAAGTATTCCAAACTTCATAATAATAGTAAAACCTAACATTCCTGTTATTGAAAAACTGGATTCCAGCTACTGCTTTAACGAGAGACAAAATTTCTTATATCTTGACACTAAAGACATATATATATCATAAGTTTCTCTTAACTTGTTCCAAAAACTTGTATATATATTTTTTTTAATTGCTACAAAAGTTGTGTTTTTAGCTGAAATCAGTACGAAGTTGAGGACTTTACAAATAGGGAATTACATAAAATGTTGAAAACTTCATTGCCCAAAATTAAGTTTGAGATATATCCTGAAGAAATACCCTTACATCCGCTGTTTTACCTTCTTTTAGTAGATTTTTCTCAATGAAAATATAATTCTTTTTCCTGATATCGTGAAGATCTATTTCTTTTTTTTTGCGTCGAAAAACGTAGTTTACTTTAATATCTAAGAATGGAGTTATTCATATCAATTCCTTTTACTTGATGCGCATTCTACCTAAACTACCACTAAAATGCGTAATTTTATGTAAACTTGGCTTAGAGAGAATAAAAAACGATCGTAAAAGGAGTCCTTAAGTTTCCATTGACTCAGATGTCAACGTAATTGAATTAGAGTAAATTTATTGAAGAAAGTAAAATATGTTTGGAAAGTATTTCACATTATAGAATGTTAAATATGATAAAGAATTATATTAAAAAACAACAACAGTGATCAGAAAATAGCATGTGGTTTGTTGTGTTCTAGCTTTTCTTCTTCACGCAAAATAATTTCGCGCTCCGAGAATGGCCTAGTAGTACTTGAATGTGTATGTGCCTAGACCGTGATTCCAAGGGCTCATGGACCATGTCCCGTTGCACCAAAAACGTAATCCGTTTTTGAAATCATGGGTGCGCTATAGGAATGAATGTCAAATCCCACTATTCAACCAAACCAAATAAACCCATTCTTTACTGAAAGTGTGTTTAAAACTAAATTAGTTTGTCAGTCTGAGATCATGTTATCTTTTTTTTTGTCTATGCATACATTATTTAACTTATTTTAAGAAAGTGGTTAAAATAACCTTCCACCATAATCCCACAGCACTTTTTGGGGATGTAGAATACTATGAATAAAATTGGATCTGCCCGAAGCATCAACTATTCAGGCAAAAAAAAATGATATTTTGATTCTTTTCCTCATTCTCAGATTTCTGACCCTGACAACTTAAAAAAATGTCATAAGACATATCATTTTTTATGAGACTAATTATAAGCCGGTTTCTTATATCGAACGCTGTGTTTTAAGTATATAATCCTTAAATTTTGAAATGTATGTTAAGTATGCTACTATTTTTCTCGTCCTCAAGTTTAGATGATACTTTTTGTGTAATCCTTACGTTTAAATGTCATTTATTCTGGCACCCTTAAGTTTAACATTTTACTGATCATAATTTTGAGGAAATATTTGTTGATGTCAACTTAATATTAAGGTTCTACTTTTTAAACATAGTGTTAAACGCTTACAAAAAAAACAAAAAAACATGTTGATATAATTTAACTGGGCAGGTGTTTATTCCAAGTCTTTAATACTTCTGATACACTAACTGTATAACTTTATACTAATATTATATATACTTATTTTGACTTGTTTGCTAATAAAATAGTACTTTAACAACATTTGTTCATACTCATTGTAATATATTGATAATGATTTCTAGGGGCTAAAGTTACAAATGTTTAAAACTTGCAGGATAAAAAGTCATTTGTGTTCAATCAAAATATATTGAAAAATAGCAAATTCAAAAGTTGTAGAAGAATATTTATAGTAAAAAATAAACACAATTATGTTTCTTATAAATAAACTTATTCACTGATATTGGTGTACACTATTTTCAATTTTAACTACTCAGATGTTAGCTACAGCAAAATCTCACCCACAATACCTTTAGCTTATCTTTTTCCTTTTGTTAGGGTTACATAAAAAATTTTAAATGTGGCGACTTTGAGTAATATTTTCTTAACTTTAATAATATAATATATAAGAGAAAGAGATGTTAACTTTAATAATATAATATATAAGAGAAAGAGATATTAACTTTAATAATATAATATATAAGAGAAAGAGATATTAACTTTAATAATATAATATATAAGAGAAAGAGATGTTAACTTTAATAATATAATATATAAGAGAAAGATATGTTAACTTTAATAATATAATATATAAGAGAAAGATATGTTAACTTTAATAATATAATATATAAGAGAAAGATATGTTAACTTTAATAATATAATATATAAGAGAAAGAGATGTTAACTTTAATAATATAATATATAAGAGAAAGAGATGTTAACTTTAATAATATAATATATAAGAGAAAGAGATGTTAACTTTAATAATATAATATATAAGAGAAAGAGATACTTAGTACTTGTGTTTAACTCTTACAAAAGAGCATAGATAACTGTCGTGTTGATCCCCAGTTTTAGAAAAACAGTAATAAACTGGTGCATTCACCTCTACTTTAAAAGAACAAAAATAATGATTGATGTGTTAACCGTTTCACGTGCTAAATTATAAATTTCTAAACTTAATCTGTTATTCTCTCTGCACTCTACAAATTTCAAAGGCAAAATATAGGACTGTTATATTTCACCTTATGATTGATTTAATATATTAAAAGATGTATTTAATTATTATAATTAAATTTTTATTGTATTATTACACTTTTCTTATTTAAAGTACAGAAAAACATGCTAGATACAATAGCGTGCATCAAAGAAAAGCGAAATTAAGGTGAGTGAATTATTTCAGTTCTATAGCTCCTCAGTCACGTAATATATTTCTGCTCTGTAAAGAAAAAGTACAATGAATGACTGTGATGGATACGTTCCAATTCACTGTTTGCATGCTTGAACATTTTCTCAAACATTATTTATTTGTTTATAGCATTTTGTGCAATGTATTAAAGTGAAACAAGTACAGGCAAAAACATTTTCAATTTCTCAAAGTTTTGTTCTTGCTTTTTAAAACTTTTTGACTTAAATTACCAATTTCAGAATTTTAGCCTTAATTGTAAAAAGTTAATATCTTATATAACATTAAATGTAATTCTACTGATAAGCAAATATATATATATATATATATTTAAAGAAAAACACGAGAAAGTATATACCAACTTTAGTTGTTAACTAACCCTTGGTTCTTATAGAAAATGTCTAGAGAGACAAAACAAAATTCTTCAGATACAGTTGAAGTTTTTTATGCTATAACATTAATATACCTTACGATTACTTTTATCATTTACAACT